TTGAAATATTAAACCCTTCCGCGTCAGAAAATTTCACCGTTATGCTTTTTGCTCCGCATTTTGTTTTTCACAGCGTTTTTCTATTATTTTTTGCGCTGCTCCGCACAGGAAGGCCAAGATTTGCTTTACTATTTGTATTATTTTCTCCGCAAAAAAAGACCAAGCGTTATTTTACTATGCGGAAGGGTTTAATATTTTGCAGTACTGGGGCAATGTGGAGCCGTACCCGCACCCTGGCAGGCTGCCAGGACGCACCAATGGGTGCGCAAAGGCTGTGGTGCATGCCTCTCGCATGGCTCGCCGCTTGGCGCAGGCGCCTTGCGTACTTTAGGGCTGTGGCTGGGGGGGCCCTTGGGTCCGGATGGTTGGGCGTTGTCGCGATGGTGGTTGGGACCTGGTGTGTGCTAAGGAAGGAGAAGGAAGATGGGGGTGGGGGGATCATTTTGTGGACGAAAGGGGAGAAATTCCTTTGGCTTAAGGGTCGGAGGGATCACAGCGGGGTCCATGGGCGCCGCTTTGGAGCATCGATCGCCGGAGACCTTGCGCTCAGTGGACTGAGTGGTGGATGGATGCCAGGGTGGAATTGACCCGGCCACAAATGAAACGTCCTCGACGGTCCGCAGTTGGGCAAAGCTGGTCCATTCTGGACAAGGAAAGTCTGCACAGATGGCATTTCAGACGCTGGGTGGCGTGGAATCCACACCACCTGTCTTGTAGTCCACACTGTGGACAACTGCCGATCAGGCGGCCACATTTGTTCTAAAGGGTGTAAACGAGGAAATTGGGTGGAAGGGCAGGGTTCCACCATGCCTGCCGTCGTGGTACTGTAGCACCTGTGGACTTTTGAGACATCTATTGCAGCATCGAAAGACACTTGAAAATTTTCTTCAAAAATGTGGGGGACGGGGAAGGCGCACAATATTGCAGAATGTCTTCATATCTCAGAAAGATACAATCATCTGTGTGGTAATGGATGAGTTCAACAAGGTGCTCTTTTGCGCTTGGCCCAGAAAGTGAGATAGATCGGCATCTGAACGCCGAGTTTTTGGAGATTAAGCGCCTGAAGAAGCAGATACATAAATGAGGGGAGCTGCTGAAGCTGCAGGCCAAACTGAAGGAAATGGAGGACTTGAAAGGAAAAATCAGGAGTGAAGAGGCCAAATTGAAAGAAAAGAAGGCAAGGAGCCTGTTGTGTGGATATGGGCACAAGACATATGGCCTTTTGGACATACTATCCTTGGATGGAAATGTAGAGTCCTAACATGAGATGATGCAGTGAAGAGTTGAAGGAGCTTTGTCATTTACCATCTCATTATTGCCCAAGTTTTGTCGTCTCGGTTTTAACCAGTTTGATTGCTAGCATGCACACATTTCTGCACTTTTGCCATGCAGTTTGTGCTTTGCTGGGCTCACAATCGTCGGTTCGAGCACCAAATGGAGGCCACCTACCTGCTGAAGTCGATGAGTAGGTGGTAGAACTGTCACCTGCCATTCCCTATGATTTGGCGTTTGTATTAAGAAGTTTTTGCTCACTCTGGTCTGTCTGCTCTGATGCAGGCTGCCCTTGAGCAGGCTCAACTGAATGAACAGATCAAAGCCAAGAAAAAGCAGGTGAGCTTTGTCCACTAGTGAGCTGTTTGCGGATTACCATTGACTGACGATTCCATTGTTTGCTCCAAATAGCACACAGTGGTTGCACTGTTGGGTGGCTGGGACAAGAGACATACCTTCTGCACTGGAAATGCCCCATAGCTCTTTGTTGTGTCTGTGGATGTCTGCGCACTTGCACAAAACAGGCAATGTGTGGACGATTATTTCGATTTGTGGGCTAGCTCGCACTGCAGGCTGTAGTAGCCCCATCGTTTTCAAAGTAGCTGCAGATCATCATGTTGCCATTTGCAAACCCAAAAGCATTTGGTATTATTGCCATTGTGATGCGGTGACTGGAATGTTCTTTTGGCAAAATATTGGGAGGCGTTTATAAGCACCTGTAAAAATGATGTTGCCTGATTGTCTTACCACAAGAGAGCCACGTTTCATGGCCAGTGATTCTTTACGCTGCCTAAATGGATGCATGCATCAAGCCGATGGTGCCACAAAGTTACTGTTGGTGGTGGTCACTGCACACTTCTAGAGGCCTGTGCTGACATTGGTTGTCTTGTGTATAGGAGCGAAACAGAAAGATAAGGAACACATTTGCTCAGGCGAGTTTGGTTCTTTGGTGCATGTGTTGAATGAAGCGGGCTTGACTTCCTGTGCCTAAGTTGCTTTGCCCATGTCAATCTGCAGCGTACCGCAGATTTGCCCGCCAAGGATGCAGGAAATGTTTCCGACCATATGCCACGTGTCAATCGAGATCGTTCCATTGTGGATGTTCTTCAGTCGCAGAGTGAATGTGTCAAAAACCCTTTCACATGAAATTGCAACAGATTTACGCAGCAGCACGTAGTCTGCACAATAACGAGTATCAAAATTGCGGGAAATAAACCCCTCTTGCACCTATTAGGGCAAGCCCTGCTCTAGCCACATGCGCAGGCTGCCAACGGTATTTTGTTGCCTTTCCCAACCGTCGTTGCTCAATGGGACCGAAGGTGGCCGTGGCGCCAATCAGCAAACAGTGTTGACCCCCCACGACCCAGCGTGGCATGTTTCGTGCTGGAGAACATGGGCAAACCCTTCACAAAAACGTGATGCCAAAACACGCCTTCCGCAAGATATGCTGGTGGTGCTCAGTGGTGCCTTGTGCTCTGCATTCGCTGTAGAGAATTGCTTGCGGTTGCCGAAGGTCGAAAGTTGCCAGCGCTCGTACTGACAGCGTGCAGCAGAGAAACGGGGGCACATCCGAGTGTGCAAAGTGGCCTTTTGTGCAATGAAGATACAATAATTTAACAAACACCTAGCAAACAATTCAGTGGATAAGGATGACGGGCTTCAGATCGCCGGTGTCTGCTCCTTGAACCACCACAGATACTGCGATCATCAGTCAGGCGTGGATCATGTGCCAGATGAAATAAGGGCCTGTGGGTGCACAACACAAACAATACCTCAAAAGAGCGGACTCCCGGATTCTAGATTCACAGAAGAGTGAGTCAAGTGTACTGTGACCCACTGCTGCAGGAGAAAAGCCACATCCATTTGCGCATGGGCGTTGACTCTGAGGCCAGCTCGTCCTGGCCAGCAATTTCGATGCAATAACCGTTGGTTCTCTTTCAGTCTACATTCATCCAAGAGCAGGCTTTGGAACAAAGATAACACATTCCAGGCAACAGATCAGTTGCCAACCAACAGCGAAATGGGCCACCCAGACACAAGACAGAGTCTCAGTTGCCCTGCCTGCTTCTTGCGCTGCCTGCCGCGTTGTGAAGGGCCCTTTTGTGAAGGGCCCCTTTGTGATGGGCCTTGCTGTAAAAGCCCTCGTTTAGAAGGGCCTCGTTGAGAATGGCCCCTCCTTGGCTGCGCCTGGCATCGCTCATGCGCCATTATGTAGCGGTCCAATTCCTCTTCGTCCACCTCGGCGTCTCGCTCGTTCAGGTTCACGGAATCCGCGTCGTCAGCGCCATAACGCCTCCGTGGTGGATTCTCCATTACACGATCGCTACAGCAGAGCAACACGGCAGTAACTATGCAGCCGTCAAATTGAAGATGAACCATGCGCAGCATGCACATTGCTCAAACGCAACAGCGCAGTTTCGCCCATTCCATCGATTATGCTTGCCCGAAAAGATCTGATGGCGCCTTTGCATCTCACAGGCGATAAAGGCTAACAAATGCTCAATTAATGTTTGCTCATTGCACCCAGATCATCGCCGCTTTGGCTTCGTCGGTATTGCGTGGAATTTAGATTGTTCCTATTGCTCGTGAGAAGAGACTGCAGGTTTTGGGTCAATCACTGCACAAGACGCCGATCTCGCTATCTTGCCTTGCAGGTGCCAACAAGATGAACACAAGATGAAGCAAGATGAACAGCATTGCCTGCACTTGCACATCCAGGCATCCAGTCATACCAACAGAGCGAAAACAAGGTCCTAAGCCTGAGAAAAACATCGATATCTCCAGCAAAACCTGTTTCTGAACACACCTCTCCCATGTGCCCGCTTGGACTGACTGAACAATACTATCCAAGCTGTAAAGTTCCTGGAGGAGTTCATTCGCTCCAAACGGAAACTCCAACTCCAGCTGGTGTCTGCACAAAGCCGCAGGCTCAATCTGAGATGGGCTCATTCCAAAGAAACGTAGCCTACGTACACTGGTACAACACAGGACATCCTATGTTTGCCCATGTCCACAATGGCAAGCCATACCCAGGCGCCTGCAGAGCGATGGAGGGCATAGACCACTCCTGTCACATCAATTGCTGAACTGTCTATATGTGGCTCCAGGAACACCAAAGATTGTGCCCACTGAAAGAAAGTAATAGGGTTTGGGAGGTCAACAAAAGGTAATCAAGGGCAGAGCAGGCTGGAACCGTAACAGAGATGCATACGCAACCTGCCTGTGGTTCAGTAGAGAAGATATAACGTCCCCTAGGGTTGCCACTGCATGCTCGGCCTTGTTTGACCCCTTTCGTCCAGCGCCGAAAGCCTCACGGTAGATGTTATTCTGAGCAACCTCAGCCCTTGACAGCAACCTACAGTGCAGCTGATGCCACCGTCAGGTAAAAAGTGCCTGCAAATCTACCACCAGTGACTCAACAGACACGTTGGCTGTGGACCAAAGTGTGCCAGTTGTGCAACTGAGTGCAAAATCAATCATCAGCTCTCTGTCAGCAAGCTGCAAGTCCTGCCATACAGGTGTTGTTTTTGCAGTTAATTGTGCAGTTTTATCATGCAGCTGGGTATACTTCAGCCCACTCAGTAGCTGTGAGCAGTTCAATCATTGTTTCGGCATTTTCACAAGTCAGGTTGAGATTGCATTTGTGTAGCAAGCTGGACCCCATCGCTACCTTTGGGTCTCCGACAGAAAATATGTGTGGTCCAAGCAGGCAAGGTCTGGCTCTGCACCATGACAACAAATAAAGTGTCATGCCCTCATCCATCACCTGCCCAGTCACCCTCCCAACTGTGAGCCACATGGAGAACTATGCACAGCAAGCCAAGAGTAACCACCCTACAAGACGCAGAAATTGCTGACATGGGCCCTCAGGTAGCATGTAGTGGGTACCAGGCAGCTGAGTGCCAAATATCTTGCCAGGCACTCCTCGTTGTTACACGCCCAGTATTCAGTGGCTCGTGCACTTGGAGTCTTCCACAGCTTATTCTAGCAAGGAATAGAACTGCACACATTTTTGTCTTGGAACACAGTGCCCCTGTGTGGTCCGCTTCTTTTACTGTACACCACGCGCGATCGTGATTTCTCAAACCAGTTCCTTCCCAGTGGAATGATGTGCCCTATGCTAACACACAGTGACGTCACAGTTCCCAAGAGCCGAGCCCAGAACGAAGCAGTTAGATGTCAGGCCTGCAGTTCCTCAGCGGGGACCAGCTCCAAGCCCAACGCACAGCCACCGCACCTTCCTCGTCCGCCCTTGCTGTCGACGGCACGACTGGCTACACACCAACAAGCCCCAAACACAACTCAGTGCCGCGCCGTCTCCAGATCCCAACCGGGGCGGACAAACTTTAAAGCTGACCCTTTGGCTTTTGAATTTCGTGGCGGTCGTACTTGGACAGTGTGCATGCAAAATTGTGCCTGACATCGCCTTTGCAGCCGCACGGGCTGTGTTCTTTCTGCTTTTCAGCGATGCGCTCCCGAGGGACCACAAGGACCCTTTGGCTTTTGAATTTCGTGGCGGTCGCACTTGGACAGTGTGCATGCAAAATTGTGCCTGACATCGCCTTTGCAGCCGCACGGGCTGTGTTCTTTCTGCTTTTCAGCGATGCGCTCCCGAGGGACCACAAGGACGTCACACACCTCTTCCTCGCCGTCAGGCAGCACGATGGTGTGGATGGGCGCGGCGCACAGCGGGCACAAGGGGACCCTCCTGGCGGAGGCCCACTTCCTCAGGCAATCCACACTGCGGCAGGCCGCACAAGGATTCAAAGGCAGCGCCCAAACAGTAAACCATATTGCAACACGACATGGGTCCCAAACTGCCAAAAGCATTCAAGCCAGCTGCCGCAACCGGTGCACAAATCAACCATAGCGACTCCAGGCGGGCGGTATAGAAACCGATACTCAATCTGTCCCATGCCACAAACCGCGACTGCTTCAGTGGGAGGCCCTTGCAGCGCAACCCTTCAGACGCGAGAGAAAGAAAAAGGGTTTCTGCACTTTCTGCGGTCATCTGAAGGCTCAGCTGTCGCATGAGAGGTTCGGCACAGGCTCTGGGGCCACTTGCCCACACAGCTGCGCAGAGTTCGAGCCGCAAAGAGCGGGGGGTGAGCACGTGTGACGCACCAGAACTCGTGGCCACAGCCTCCGACTTGGGCGGCCGCGCCTGCGGCAGCATCGCTGAGGCAAATCACGCAAATCTGTCTGGCGCTCTCGTCCATCGAAGCGTTCTTGCCGGTCGAAGTGCTGCTTGACGTCGATCGCCAGACGCGTTTCGCCCAACAGCAGCGAGGAACGTGGCGATGAGCGCCCCGAGCTGGCGGCTTTATTGGGGACCAGGGCTGAAGTTGTGGGGAAGTTTTGAAGGTCATGGATGTCAAAATGTGCATTCATACATTTTTTGTTTCTACGAAAGCGCTGACGAAGATATTGTTCGTGCCATCTCATAATGAGCGCCATTGCGGTGGGTGGATCACGTTTTTAGTGATATATCACTAAGGATAGGTACCTATCCTCAAGGCCAAGGGCCCCAACTTTGCTCCGAGCACACGGTCCTTGCTTGCACGAACGATTTAGGCGTGTTGCCTTCCAGACCCCCGGGGCACTCGACGCCCAGATCTGGATTTGTCATCACCCGCCGTTTCCCAATTGAGGGCCAAATTCAAATTTGGCAGCGCCGCCTTTCCTAACCACACTCTCTTCAATTTGCAGCAACACCGGTGCTGTGTGCAGGCATGGTGCATGCTGTGCGGACGGGGGCCTGCGTCAGCTGTGGCGTGGCCTTCACCTGGTGGTGGATCGTCGCTTTGGACAGCAGAGGACGACCAGCCAACCCATGGCCTTGAGGTGAGTTTCGTGGCGAGGTGATCAACTGATCGTGTGTGCTGCGCTGCGGGGGCATTGTCTGAGTGTGCGCTCGTGCTATGTTGCAGGGCAGCTCATGTGGGTCTGCACGTGTATGTGCGCGCGCCTCTGGTGCAGGCAGCAGGCTGTCTAGCATTTGTTGTGGCTGCATGTCAAGGCGATCGCCGCCAAGGTCGATCTGAGCGAGACGTGAGGAGGAGCGGTCACCACTTAACACACCACATCCTGTGGCCTTCCACACTGCCACACAGAGAATGCGTCCCAACCCTTCAGCAACAAGAACGAAGCAAAAAAACACTCAGCAGTGGCACCTGCTCCTACGTCACCCGATACATGGCATCGACTGACATAGCCACATATTCCAAAATGCAAAGGCACCACATGACGATGATTTCCAGTGTTAGCAGCCCAGCCAATACGCATAGTAGCCGTCTCCTACGCTGGGGACCGCTATTGACACACCAACCCATCCCACCTAAACTCACAGCTCGACGTCGGATGGGGGATTGATGCCATTCCCCGACGTCGGACTCCGATCACGAAGTTTGTCTCCATCTCCGACGTCGGAGATGACTGCTCCGATAATTCTGTAACCGCAGTGATAATATGGATAAGTAATAATGTGCTTTGAGCCTAGCGCCGGGCATCCACCCTAAATAATGCTGTGCGCTGCATGAGATGGCACAGGTGAGCCAGCCATGCATGGAAAAAAGGCAAAGAAAGAAAGCAATTTCAAAGGTGGACAATATCACAGGCGCAGTTTGTGATCTTGGGTGGCATTGTTCATGAAGACAAGTATGTGCCTAGCAGGTGCCTATCACCTCTTGGTCCCGTTGGGAACTTCCAGGCCCATGAAGAAGCAAGATGCATGAACTAAGCGCTGCTATGGTGAACGAGAACTCCTATGCGATGCCAGTTCAACGCTGGGCGGTTGTGGCCAACAAGGGACCAAAAAATGCATGAACAGGCACAAGGTTCCCGTATCCTGCATGGCTACATTCTAATCTCGTACTGAAATGCGCATGCAGATATTCACGGCTGGGACACGATGCCCTGCCGAAACCTGATGGTCTCATTGTGTAAGGCGGTCTCATTTTAGTCCTTTTCACATTTGACTGGACTGTGGTCCTGTGCAGCCCTGTCACTCCACACACATCAGCCGTACGTCAGTGATGTGAGTGGCGGCACGACAACAATGAATTGAAAACATGCTTGCATTCACTTCGAAAGTTGAAATATATCAACATAAGGATATGACAAAGCGCGATCAAAACTACGTGGGGCCTGCTTGATCAGAAGCCAAAATCGTGATGGTTTTCAGGAAGACAGACCACCTTGTTCGAACATATTGACGACCCAAATTCGGGTCGTCAATATTCAAGACGTTGTGAAGCAACAAAAAAATATTGTCGACCAAAATTGAGGGCAGTTGTGCCAGTGCGCACAAAAAGGTGTGACGAATAGCTCAATTTTCTCTTTAATCTTGCACACTCACGGTCAAATAAATCTGGACGGTCCCGATAAATCTGGTGAATGAGCAGCTTGGGCAATATTGCACGGGTTGTCCCTGTTGAACAGTTTTTTGTGATCCAATCGTATTGCAAAATTTTCTGAGTTGCATTCTCGTTCTTTTACAATACCCTGTAGATTGTTTGCTCCCTGGAGTGAGGCTGTCTTGTCCCAGGTCTGGTGAGTTGCTTGCATGCAGGCATTAGCCTTCTTGTGATCTTCATTTGGGCTGAATGTCTCATGTGAATGTGTCTCCCTTTTACAGCCGAAACAGGAACAGACGAGCTCCCGAGAAACTGCCTTTCATTTGTTGGGGTCCGCCATAGGTAGTGAAGGAATGGGCCCGCTGGTGACGACACATGACGACTAGAGACTGGCGCAGCTGGCTCAAATGCAGCACAGACGTCATCCAGATAGGCCCAGTGTAAATCACCCAACAGCGCCGCCTCAAATTCACCAACAACTCCAGGAAGAAATGTACCTCTCCACGTGGACGCAAGAAAAGGCATCTTCGATGGCTGCCTCAACTTCGGGACGTCGCACGTGGAGAGACATGTGTCGACATGTGCCGACGTGTTGATGCACGCCACATCTTTGCCCGGTGTGAAATGGCCAAAGTAGCTTGCAGGACGGGGCCAGGGCATGCAGCCCTCGTCCCACCGACGAGAGCCTCCCGTCCCCCTTGTCCCTCTCTGGGGATCTCGGAGGCCCTATCACTCAGCCACGTCCCGCGGAGGGCAACGAAGGCCTCGAACATCAGCGCCACGGCGTGGAAGCGTCGCTTCAAAGGTGGCGCATCAATACCCCCTCGTCAATCGGTCGACTGGATTTCCCCAAAATCCAGGTGGGCAAGTGCAGGTGTCTAGATTGGGGCGGGGCAGTGCAGGCAGCGCTACGACGCTAGCTCAGTTGGCAAAGCTAGCAAACTGCGCATGTCTGCAAAATAAGCTTATGAGCTTCAGCGCCACCCCAGCGTGTGGTGTGAGGCGCAAGAGACTGTCTGCCAAACACCTAGGAAATCTCAAGAGCCCAAAGAAACCACGTTCGAACAAGGATACATCCAAATGGGTGTGTTCCTTTTCAGTACGAGTTAGATACTTCATTCATATGTCACTCGGCTGCAATGCGACATATCGGGGTGTACGACGGTGTGAGCGAGGATGGCCGACCTGCTGCGCAATCGCGGTGTGGGTGACGATATTGACTGTCAAGCGCCAGTTCATCCTCGGCTGTCTTCCCCGCGCTCCAAACAGGCATAAAACCTCCACCCAGCGACGACCGCCACCACCAGAACCTCGCAAGACCCCATGCGCAGCCAGGTCTAGGGCGCACGCCAGGGCACTGTTTACCTGCCGCAGTTCACGCCCACTTCTGCCACCTGTTTTGTGGTCTCCCTTCTTGAAAGTTTGTGCTTTCGATGTGGCTGCCGCATCCGGGGGAAATACTGGAAGGATTGCCGCAGTTCTCACCGTTGGTGAAGCTATTGTGCGCGTCTAGCACGAAACTGTGCCGTTTTCCTTGTACGCAATTTTGCCTCTTTCTTTGCCATTATCCTGCTGGCATACTCGGTCAATTCCATCCAACGAGTCACCGGCAATGGTGAGCAAAGATCCAGCCGAATGCGAAGCATGTCCTTCAGAAGTGGCCTGCATACACGCCCTGCCACGTGCTGGCACAATGCTTGGATGCATTATGCGACAATTCAAGGAGGATCCGATGAGGGCAACTGAGCAGGCAGTTGTTGAAAGCCACGTAAACTGTCGGAAAGAAAATGAGTGCCGACCAGTTTGCCAGCGAAGCCAGCAAGAGATCGCGAAAGCGGAATCGTGGGGGGATTGAATTCTGAATAGCTCTGCTTTCACAACAACGACATGGTGAGTCGACAGGCGTGGGGCAATACACCGCAGGAAGCTTTCCGTTTAAAAACATCAACAGCAAGCTTTCCGTCACAATACAGCCACCGGTCCAATGACAGCAAAGGCATCTGATATCTGAATATGCAGACTCCACGACGGCAGCGCACTCCTGCCTGTTCCACACTCCATTCGCATCGCACAATGCCACGCACACGCAGCCAATCGTGGCTGCTGCAGATCCCCGCCACGCCATTTCGTCTCGGGACGTGCTAATGAAATACCCACTCGTTGAAGACCGGCCACACGTTCGCACCCTTCCGGAATTCGACAAGCGCCCACCCGATCGGTCAGCCAGCGCGCCTTCATCAAACTCAAAATCGGCTCCCACCACGTCATGCATCCACGCCTCATCAAACACACAGCCTTTCACAAAAATGCGCCTCCTGCTGCGTTTGCGTATCTTGGCCCCCTACAAATCAGCATTACTTTACACGCCTTGGTACACCGCTAAAGTACACGAGCCCCCTGTGCTCCCCGATTCCTCTCTGCTTATTCACCAGCGTATCGCTCGGTGCGTATCGCATCCAACCGCATGGCGGATGCTGTTCGCCTGTGCTCCTGGGGCTGGTACCGGCATCCAGCCCCTTCCATGCTGCTGCCGACCTTCAATCGCAGCCCTTGTTGCCTGACGGTGGGGACCTGGCCACGGGGTCCCCTTTCTGCGCAAGAAAAAGGAAGGCGCTGGGGATGAGTGGATCAATGCATGTCCAGGCGGTGCCGCCTGAGTGCTGTTGCAAGCCCTTGGGTTGCGCAATGCTGCATATCTGTCCTTTGGACAACAGCACGTACAGATTGCGAATTGACACGAGCAACGGTAGAGGCGAGACAGGCCGCGGCGGCCCGGAACACGCGGAAAACAAGCTCTGATGGTGCCGTAGCAGTCGCAGCCGCCGCGGCAGCGCCTGGGTTTTCGCCAGCTTTCATGTCGATTCTGTTTCTATGGGGGTTCCGTGGCCTCCACGTTGGACCCTTGATTTCCTCGATACCCCAATGCGTGCGGCAAAGGAAGGACGTCGCAGAATAGAGCAAAAGGCGCCAGCTGAGGTTACCAGAAAACCGGTCGGAGCCCAAACGACAACCCCACGCTCGCGCGGAGCGCTAGGTCAACCCCTGGGAAACCCGGCTTGAAGCAACCGCACTCAGCGCGGCGAAATACGGCCACAAAAGAGAGCATGACTGGGGTCCAACTGCGCCTGAACGAAGCCCGCATCCGTGGCCTGAGCGCCTTACCCTCGAGTCGCAGCGCAGGAAGTGATCCATCGACTTCTCCAGTGACGCCCGCCGCTCCAACGGCGAGGTGCTGTAGATCGCCTTGTACACGTCGTCGGAGCACATGCTCTTCCTCCGCTGCAGCTTCGGCCGGATGTCCACTGCCTCGCTCTCCTTTCCCCCTCGCTCTCCGTCCCTGCCGCTCATCTCGAAACTTTCGGTCACTTTTCTTCGCCGCAAACCTGCACCGAAACAAGTCCAACGCATTAGTACCAGCCCCGATTCTGTGCCGCGGACGGCGCTACTGACAAAGCTGTCTTGGGACGTGGCTGCGCTCCTCGGCTAATGCGAAAGGGAACAAGGCAGGGTGGCTTGGGCGGCCCGGCAGCTTACCTCCCGACGCGCGTTTGGATTCTGGAACTCGCAAACTCTCCCCGGCGCCAGGCTTGATGTGCGTATGAGGGGTGGTTGCAGGCTGCGTCAGCGTGACGTTTGCAGGTGTGGGTTGGAACTGGCGCACATGCTCCCCCGCACCAGTGAAGTGCAGTACATCTGAAGCATCGAAGTCCCACAGCCCAAGAGCTTGCAAACGGCCCAACCTCGCAGCACCGTTTCTGCACTGGCACTTTAAAGTGCGGCGAATCCCCACCAACAGCAGACCCCAACCTACTACGTTGACGTAGGTGCTGCCGAGGCACAGCGAGAGTTGGTACAAGCGTGTCATGGACGCCGCCTCAACATCATGCTCACCTTCCTCGCCTGGGTGACACAGTCATCTACGATTCCTGGGCATACTGTGTAAGTAAAAGAGTTCGCGCGGGAAAAGTTCGCGCATTTCTCGCTCGCGCAGCTGAGCGAACTTTTTCCGCGCGAGCATTTTGCCTCCGCTAACTTGAGGGTAGTGCTAAATACAGTCCGGAGGGAGGGGGGTCGCCCATCACTTTGCGCTGTGACGTGGCATTTCGCCGGGACGCTGTCCCTGCGACTGATTCAGGCACAGATCAGGACCCGCCAAAACACGATGGTTTCAAAACGGGGAGCGGCCCCTGCCAGCCCACAAGTTATGTGGGCAGCCGCCAAGTCTCCGTGATCGACCAGGCCAGGCGCGATAGCAACGATGGTCAACCTGGTGTCCAAGGGATCCCAGGCGCCGGCACACAAGGAGCGTCGCCCCTTACAGGCCGGGGCATCGGCTGCTGCAGCGCACCCTTTTGCAAACTTCTGGCCCATGGGAACAATATCATCGAGCAGATCCACCTCTTACGCGTGTCCTTCAAGGCGTTCGACCAAACCAAACTGTGCCCAAAACAGACATGCGCCATGGCCACCACGGTGGCAAACTGCCATCAGAAACAAACGGCAATTGGTATAGAATTGAAGAGGAAAGTTCCCTCGATTCGAAAACCCACCACGAAAAGCTGAATGCGGATAAAATACAGGCGTCCAAGTGTTAATCATGTCTAGGGAAAGCAAATGAGACGTTGTACTCTGTGGGATAAGGGCTCGTTTCGAACCCTGCTTTGTGCACCTCGCTCGCCCAATCGATCGCCTTGCACATTTGTAGGCTGGCAGGCTGCAGATCTCGTTGGTTGTGAGCAAAATGTGCCTTGTGAACACGGCAGCGGCACTGTTATTGGGCGTTTAAAGTTGCCCGTTGTAGTGGGGATACGAAGGCGTCGATCCGATAGTCAGTTGTTTACTGTCTGGCGCAATTGGCAATGCGACGAGATCGGTTGGGGAGACTGACGGGACAGGCTGGGTGTTGGGGCCATTGCAAGCTGCGCAGGTTGGGAAGGCGAAGAGCCTGCAGAGCGCTTATTAGGGGCGTGGTTTCCAGCCAACAATGTGGCCGGCACGGGCATGCTGCTTGTTCAAAAGGGGCGCATGGCGAAGATGTTGTAGACCCGACCAGCGATGCGGCTGCCGATGCCGTGGCTGGTGAGGGGCGATGCTCCTTGTGTGCCGGCACCTGGGATCCCTTGGACACCAGGTTGACCATCGTTGCTATCGCGCCTGGCCTGGTCGATCACGGAGACTTGGCGGCTGCCCACATAACTTGTGGACTGGCAAGGGCCGCTCCCAGTTTTGAAACCATCGTGTTTTGGCGGGTCCTGATCTGTGCCTGAATCAGTCGCAGGGACAGCGTCCCGGCAAAATGCCACGTCACAACGCAAAAAGATGGGCGACCCCCCTCCCTCCGGACTGTATATAGCACTACCCCTAACTTGAGGGGTGTCTCGTGCATATTTCCTGGATGCATTGTGCGCATCCAAGTTGGCTGCCTTGTCCCGCGCGGGAATCTTGTCGGGAATCCCGCACGCCCTAGTACTTTAGCCGACAGGGCTTGCGGGAATCCCGCAGGGTAGTAATCCGTGGCTTTCGTCCGCCAATCCAGTGGGCGGCCGCCAGCGAGCCCATGGTGTGCGAAACGTGGCGACGGCGGCGCCCACGGAGAGAGGCGCTCAAGGCTCCCATTGGGTTGGAGATTCCTCTCTAAGGGCGGTGGGCAGGTGGCTGGGCATCGCCGCGGCGCTTTGCGCAGGTGCGTGGAAATGCATGGGCCATGTGAGGTGCCGCGCGGTCCCACGCAAGCACTGCCAGGCGCCTCTCAGTGCACCTGGTGTGGTAATTTCGTGCACTTTGTTTGGCGAACTGCTCGTGGGACTGTGTCTTGCGAGGTCCCGTAGGGGGCAAGCTCGGCCGAGCGAAGCGAGGCCGTGCGTAGCCCCCGAAGGGTACTCGCAAGACAGGGGGGGTCCGGGGGCGGAGCCCCCGGCCGCCGGAGATAATGGGATTAATGAGTTTAATGGACATTAATGGAATTGTGTGCCGCGGGTTGTAAGAGCGTGCGCGGCCACGCCGATTGTAGTTCGATTGTTCTGGAACGCCTGCCTCCCTGCCTCCTCGAGCGCAGCAGCCGCGCGCCTCGGACGGGACCGCACAGAGCGGCCGTCACCCACGGGCCAGAGAGAGCCCGGGATACGCCGTCCGGCCAAGGACGACCACGCTTCCACTGGAGAGGCCCTAGAGCGCAGGCCAGGGTACCTGGACGCGGCCAAGGGGGGACCGCGCCAACACCTGGCGCTCGGCACAGCCTCCCCAAATGGTTCTAGGGGAATGGGCCGTCATGGCGTTGGGTGAACGCAGAACTAGGGCGGGGAAGGGCCGGATTGGCGCGCGGGGTTGGGGGTTGGGATTGGGGTTGGGGTATTGGCGCAGGGCAAGGAGGGCCGGTTAAGGTCAGGGAAGGGGCTGGATCGGCGCCGAGGAGAGGTGCGCAGTGGCGATGTGGGGGATTGGTGCAGAAAAGGTGGATATGGGTTTTCCTGAGGGTGGGGGGTGGGTGGGGGCAGCAATAAGAGGGGATTGCTACCTTGTTTGCTGCCACTGATGTGGCCTGCCCTGGCTGGTGTTTAGGTGCGTAGCACTCGCTCACCTATTGCAATTCGTTTGCGCTATAGTGGTCCCCAGCGGCACCTGCCTCTGTCACTTGTGAGTATACATTGGCCACACAGGGATTCTTCCAACAACGACATAAAATCACAATACCATTGTGCCACCACCGTTGTGTGCAGCTCCAATAGGGAGGTCCTTGATGCACAAATTTGCCATTGCTGTTGTCCATGTTGCGTGGCCTTCCTGGCATCTGCAGGTTAGAGGTGGGCACTCAAAGGTGCCATCCGGTCCGTTAAATCCGGTTCGTTAATTTTTATCAGCTGTCCGTTAAATTTCGTTAAAGAAAAAGGGAGAAAAATTCAGAAAAAACGAAAAAAATCCAAAAAAATCGAGAAAAAACCCAAAAAAATCACAACAACTGCGGCTAGTTGAAAATCTAGAATGCATAGGTTGAAATAAAATACAAACGTACTCTCTAATAGCGAATTCCATAAACTATAAGTATGACTAAAACCCAAAAATCCCAAAAAAATCCAAAAATCCGCTAATTTTTTTGTTAATTTTTGTTTTTTTTCGTTATTTTCCGTTAATTAACGAAACATTAATGGAAATTAACCTCTGTCCGCTATTAACGGATCCGGGTGGCCACCTCTACCGTAGGTGGGATCAGATGTTTTGCAGAGGCACAACACACAAACAGTATTGAACTTGACTGTAGCGTTGCCAATTCTAATGCAACAACACAGAAACTTTAGTTCCCAAATGTAGCTCAAACAAGCAAGCATATTTTTGTCTGCAAGATGCTTGTTGGTTGATTGTGGTTGGTGTGGTGATTGCTACGCCACGCTCTTAATATGTCGATTGGGGCACAACCTCATGGGGTTGTGGGCAACTCACCAAAAGGCATTGTTCAGGTCGTTGTTGTTGTTGAAGCTCACACGGGTAGACGTACTTCCAAGGCAAAGGCCAAGTGCAGGTTGGGTGCAGTGTATCATAGTTTGGTTGATCAATGGTCAATAATGGAAAGGGACGAGAGTGTAGCACTATGCACCATTACTTGTTATCAAGCTCAAGAGTACAATTCAGCACAAAGACACAAAAGAGAATGGTGTCCAAAATGTTGCAGAAGCTGTACAAAAGCAGTGGTGGCAGAGATTCTTACGCTTCCAAGCATTTTGTAGCTTGTGTGGACTCACAACAGCAAACTTTAGGGGTCTTTCTAGTGATGGTCATTGCTTGGCAATGACAGTGAAAGAACAGTGTCAGTTCACATTCACACAGTTGGGTGGGGACCCTTCGAAACTTTCGTGTGCTTGATCGCTTGCAATAAGCCAGCACAATACATTATGGCAGGGCTGCTGTGGTCAATCCCATGCTATGGCTATAAAATGCATTGTCCTTTGTTCAACCAGAAGCAGATGAGTCGTTCTTTACTTCGCCTGGGCCTCCAGTCGTTTACAAGGCGAATGTTGGAGTGTGGGAACTGCATTTGACTACTTATCTGTGATGAAATGCCACTTGCAATGGGGTAAGATGGCATTACAAATTAACGAGGCGAAGCCCCTCCTTTTCCACCAATATTGCAGGTGCTATAGGCTTGCAAATGGGGTATGGATGGCTCAGCGTTTAATTCTGTATGGATGCTCTTGCAACAAGGTGAAGACGGTGCATGCTTGTGTGAATTCCGTTTGTGACAATCGTCAAAAGCACCTGATAAAACAAGGCCCTTGCACCTGGCAACTGGCCACACACAGAGCATGTGCGTGTGCATGCATTCATATGTGCATGCATGCGTGTGTGGTGCGTTTTGGCATTCGGGCTGGCAACAGTTACTGTGACGGAATTA